TAATATCAATAATAATAATGATGATACGAATGATACCAACAATAAAAATAAACATACTAACACTAATAATGATGGAAATACTAATTGTACTTCTACGCCTACTCCTCGCCCTCCTCCTCCTCCCCCTCCTGCTCCTCATCCTCCTCCTCCTCGACCTTCTCCGCCCTCTCGTCGTCCTCCTCCTCCTTCCTCACCCTCCTCGTTCAACTCTTCTGAACCCTCATCCTTCTGCTCGTCCTCCTGCTCCTCCCCCCCCCGCTTCTCCTCAACATCCTCCTCAACCTCCTCCTCCTCCTCCTCATCCTCCTCCTCCTCGTCCGTCGCCCCCTCTACCTTCTCATCTTTCTCCTCCTCCTCCGTCTCCTCCTCATCTTCCTATTCAGTATATCCTCCTCCTCCTCCCTCTCCTCCTCCTCCTCCTCTTGAACCCATATATCCTCCTCCGCCTCTCCTGCTCATCCTCTTCCTCCTCCTCCTCCTACTCCTCCGTCTCCTCCTCCTCCTCTGATCCTCCTCCTCCTCCTCCTCCTCCCCCTCCTCCTCCTCCTCCTTCTCCTCCTCCTCCTCCTCCTCCAACTCCTCCCCCTTCCCCCAATATACTCCTCCTACTGATCCTCCTCCTCCTTCTCTTCTCTTCTCCTCCTCCTCCTCCCCCTTCCACCTCTTGTTCCTCCTCCTATTAGTTTCTTCCTCCTTCTCCTCCTCCTCCTTCTCCTCCTCCTTTTTTCTCACCCTCCCCCTTCTGCGTCTTCCCCCCCTCCTTTTTCTACTCGCCCTCCTCCCTCCTCCTCCTGGTCCTCCTCCTCCTCCTCATGATCATCCTCTTCGTCAAAGTCTCCCGCCTGGCTGAACTACTGAGACACTGAAGAATCCAGATCCCCCAACACGTAGTCCCTGCGCAGGGACAATTCCGCCATCACCACCATCATCAGCATTATTATCATCATCACCATCATCAACATCATCATAATCAGCAGCAGCAGCAGCATCAACATCATCAGTATCATCATGATCATACTCGGCATCATCCTCAGCATCATCGGCAGCATCAACGTCAGTATCATCATCATAATCACCAGCATCACCATCATCATCATCATCATCATCATCATCATCATCATCATCATCATCATCATCATCATCATCGTCAACATCATCATCATTATCACCCTCATGCTCAACCTCATCATTATCAGCCTGATCACCCTCCTCCTCATCCGCATCCTCATCATCGTCAGCAGCACCAACATCATCAACATCATCACCATCATGATCAGCATAAGCATCATCATCAGCAACATCATCAACACCATCAGCATCATCATCACCATCATCAGCAGCATCAACCTCATCATCGGCAGCATCGTCGTCATCCTCATCAGCATCGTCATCATCATCATCATCATCATCATCATCATCATCATCATCATAAACATCAGCATCATCAGCATCAATATCGGCATCGCCATCATCATCTGTAACATCAGCATCAGCAGCCTCACCATCATCAGCATCATCATCATCATCAACATCGTCGTCATCATCATCATGATCATCATCATCACCATCATCACTACCACCACCACCACCATCGTCAACATCAACATCATCATCAGCGGCATCACCGTCGTCGGTGTCATCATCATCATCGTCAGCATCATCATCACCACCAGCATCATCAGCATTAAGTCTCCTCAGCATGATCAGTCCCCGTCAAACGCATCAACATCAGCATCATCACCATTGCCGCCAGCATCAACACCATCAACAGCACAAGCACAATCATCGTCACCATCGTCCTCCCCCTCCGTCTCCTCTTCCTCATGATCATCATGATCATCATCATCATCATCATCACCATCACCATCACCATCATCACCACAGCATAATCATCATTATCGTCGGCGTCGCCTTCTTCTTCGTCATCATCGTCCTCCTCCTCATCATCTCCATCACCATCCTCCTCCTCCTCATCATCGTCGTCAACATCATCAGCAACAACATCATCACCATCATCACAATCGTCACCATCATCATCAAGCATAATCAGGACCATCATCCTCGTCCTCATCCTCATTCCCGTACTCCTCCATCATCATCATCGTCTCGTCATCATCATCATCATCATCATCATCATCGTCATCATCATCATAAGCATCATCATCATCAACATCAACAATATCATCAGCCACAGCATCAATATCAGGTCGATGTGCCTTTCTTGGACAGAGACGGAAGCTGGCCTCCTCCACCTCCTCCACCTCCTCCTCCACCTCCTCCTCCTCCTCCATATTCCTCCTCCTCCTCCTCCTCCTCCTCTATTTCCTCCTCCTCCTCCTCCTCCTCTTCCTCCTCCTCCTCCTGCTGCTGCTCCTCCTACTTATCCCTCCTCCTGCTCCTCCTCCTGTTCCTCCTCCTTCTCCTCCTCCTCCTCCTCCTTTCGGTTCCTTATAAATGATTCCTCCCTGCCGCACCCCAAGGCCCGTCGAAAGAGCGGGACGGGCGTTTCGCCTGAGACTTCCACACCATTTGTGACTCTGAAGCTGAAAGTTCGGCGACAGATTCATAGATGGAGGGCGGGTGGTGTTCAAAACGTGGCTTTCGCCGTAGCACCGCGCACACTCGTCATTTAACAGGTACAAAAATTTTACGGATGGAGGGCTGGTCGTTTTCAACATGCTGCTCTCGCCTTGGCGCCGCGCACATCCGTTTGAGCAGTTTGCAGAAGCTTCACGGATGGAGGGCGGGCGGCTTTCAACATGTAGCTCTCGCCGCAGCGCCGCGCACATTCGTTTTGAGAGTGTGCAAGGCTTTCATGGATGAAAGGCGGGTGGTTTACAAACTGCTGCGCTAGCCCTAGCGTTGCGCACGTTCGTCTTACATGTTACACGAGCTTCATACATGGAGGGCGGGTGGTTTTCAACATGTGTCTCTCGCCTTAGCGCGCACATTCGTTTCAAACATGCGTAAGAGTTTTACGGATGGAGGAGGAGTCGTTTTCAAAATGTGGCTCTCGCCTTAGCGCCGCGCGCACTCGTTTTGATCAGTTGCAAGAGTTTCGCAGGTTGTGATGGTTTACAAATCAGAAATGGTGTTTTGGAAAGACTCTTGAACTCATGACTGCCAGGGCGCAACAGTTACGCTGGCTCGCGGTGCTGGGATCCCAGGAATGGTGTTCTGGCATGGTTCAAGATCGCCAAGAAGCAACAGTCAGGTTAGTTCGTGGCGTTGAAGTCCTGAGACTGGTTTTTTGGCAGGTTCCAAGAAAGTCACTCGGACGTCCCCCAAGACGGCAGTTCCTTCAGTGGAAATGATACCTTGTACGGGCCTATGAAAAGGGAGCTTGCAGGGAGGGTGTATTCCAGCATCGCTGGGGAGTCTTGTGCTTACACGGGTCCTAATCCTTCTCCTCCTCCTCCTCCTAATCCTTCTCCTCCTCCTCCTCCTCCTCCTCCTCCTCCTCCTCCTCCTCCTCCTCCTCCTCCTCCTCCTCCTCCCCCTCCTCCTCCTCCCCCTCCTCCTAAATGCTCCTCCTCCTCCTCCCTCCCTCCCTCCTCCCTCCCTCCCTCCCTCCCTCCTTCCCTCCCTCCTCCGCTCCCCCCCCCTCCCTCCTCGTCCTCCTCCTCCCTGCTCCGCGGCGGCGTGCCTGCCGTCCGGCAGCTGGCTGAAGAACGCCTCGCGGCGCTCCTCCCTGCTGTCGTTCTGCCGCGCCAGCTGCAGCACGCGGGCGCCCCTCTCGTCCGTGACGGCCTGCGTCGAGACGCGCAGTAGCACACCACAGCGGAGACCATCATCATCAACAACATCAGCGTCACCATCACCATCACCAACACCGTCACCGTCACCGCCACCTTCACCGTCACCATCACCCTCCTGCTCCTCCTCCTCCTCCTCCTCCTCCTTCTCCTGGCCTTCCTCCTCCTCCTCCTCATCATCATCACCATCACCAGCATCACCATCATCACCAGCACCAGTACGATCACAATCACCAGGAGACTCCTAATCATGATCATCATCACCATCATCAGCATCAGCACTGCATCAGCATCAGCATCATCATCAACACCACAACCACCATCATCATCATCATCAGCATCAGCATCGCCATCACCAGCATCATCAGCATCCTCATCCTCACGTTCCTCCTTCTCCTTCTCCTCGTCATCATCATCAGCATCATCATCAGCATCAGCATCATCTTCATCATCCCCATCCTCCTCCTCCTTTTCATCATCATCGTCAGCAGAATCATCATCTTCACTAGCATCATCATCATCAGCATCATCAGCATCACCATCATCAACATCGTCATCATCATCAGCAGCATCAACATCATCAGCATCGCCATCATCACCATCATCATCAGCATCATCAGCTTCATCATCAACACCATCATTATCAGCATCATCATCACCATCATCGTCATCATCATTAGCTTCATCATCCCCATCCTCCTCCTCATCTTCATCATCATCATCTGCAGCATCATAATAATAGTCATCATCAGCAGCATCATCACCATCAGCATCAGAATCAGCATCATCAGCATCACCATGATCAGCCACATTGCCATCATAATCAGCATCATCATCAGCATCATCATCAGCATCATCGTCACCATCATCAGCACCATCATCAGCAGCATCAGCATCAGCATCATCATCAGCATCACCAGCTTCATCATCATCAGCAGCATCATCAGCATCATCAGCATCATCATCAGCATCATCACCATCATCATCAGCATCATCATCATCATCACCATCATCAGCATCTTCATTATCATCATCCCCATCCTCATCCTCTTCATCATTACCATCATCATAATCATCAGCATCATCAGAACAGTCATCCTCATCATCATCAGCAGCATCATCATCATCACTATCAGCATCGTCAGCATCACCATCATCATCAACATCGCAGCATCATCGTCAGCATCATCATCACCATCATCATCACCATCATCATCACCATCATCAGCTCTATCATTACCACCATCATCATTATCGTCACCATCATCATCACCGTCACCATCACCGCCAGCATCATCATTCTCAACATCCCCATCCCCCTCCTCTCCTTCATCAGCATCATCATCATCATCATCACCAGCATCACCATAATAGTTATCATCATCAGCAGCATGCGCATCACCATCATCATCAGTATGAGCATCATCAGCATCAACATCATCATCAACATCGCCATCACCATCAGCACCATCACCATCATCATCACCATCATCATCAGCATCATCATCATCACCATCATCATCAGTATCATCAGCTTCATCATCATCATCACCATCATTACCATCAGCAGCATCAGCATCATCATCACGATCTCCCTCCCCATATTCATCATCATCATCAAGAGCATCAGCATCATCATAATAGTTATCATCATCATCTCAAAATAAGACACACCATCAGCATCAGCATCAGCATCAGCATCATCAGCATCATCAACATCGCCATCATCATCAGCATCATCACCATGATCATCAGCATCATCAGCATAATCATCAGCACTATCACCATCATCATCACCAGCTGCATCACCATCACCATCATCATCATCATCATCATCATCATCATCATCATCATCGTCACCATCATCATCATCAGCAGCATCATCATCATCACCATTATCATCACAATCGTCCTTCGCTTCTTCACCAGCATCATCAGCATCACCAGCGTCATCGAAACAGACATTATAATCAGCAGCATCATCTTCATCATCATCATCATCATCATCATCATCATCATCATCTGTACCACCATCATCATCAACATCAGCATCATCACCATCATCGTCACCGTCAGCATCAGCATCACAATCATCATCAGGATCATCAGCATCATGATCATCACCATCATCATCTTCATCATCATCACCATCATCACTAGCATCATCAGAATCATCATCACCATCATCATCATCATCCACATCTTCCTCCTCTTCTTCATCGCCATCACCATCATCATCAACATCATCACCATCATCGTCATCATAATCATTAGCATCATCATAATATACATCATGACAATCATCCGCAGCATCCTCATCACCATCATCATCAGTATCATCATCATCATCGTCACCATCATCATCAGCATCGCCATCATCATCAGCATCATCATCAGCATCAGCATCAGCAGCATCATCACCATCATCATCTGCATCATCATCAGCATCATCATGAGTACCATCATCACCATCATCAGCATCACCAGCTTCACCTTCATCACCATCATTATCACCATCATCATCAGCATCATCATCATCATCATCACCATCAACCTCTTCCTCCTCTTCATCATCATCATCATAATCATCAGCGTTATCATAAAGGCCATCATCATCATCATCAGCAGCATCATCACAATCGTCAGCATCAGCATCATCATCATCACCATCATCATCAACATCACCACCATCATCAGCATCATCATCAACATCATCATTAGCATCATCATCAGCATTATAACATCATCATCATCAGCATCATCATCAGCATCAGCACCACCATCATCGTCATCATCAACAGCATCATCATCATCATCATCTTCATCAGCACCAACATCACCATCATCACCAGCATCTCCATCCTCCTCTGCATCACCATCATCATAATCATCAGCATCATCATAGTAGCCATTATCATCATCAGCAGCTTCATCACCACAATCATCATCATTATCAGCATCATCAGCATCACCATCATCAACAACATCACCATCATGACCAGCATCATCATCAGCATCATCAGCATCATCATCACCAACATCAACAGCATCACCAGCTTCATTATCATCACCATTCGCATCAGCATCATCAGCTGCATCTTCATTACCATTATCATTATCATCATCACCATCATCATCACCATCATCATCCTCTTCTCGATCATCACCATGATCATCATCATCATCACCATCATCATCAGCATCATCATCATCATCACCATCACCAGCATCATCAGCATCACCATCAGCATCATCAACATCACCATCATCATCAGCATCATCATCAGCATCAGCATCAGCATCAGCTTCAGCATCATCACCAGCATCATCATCACCACCATCATCATCAGCATCATCATAATCAGCATCACCATCATCATTACCATCATCATCACCATCATCATCAGCATCATCCGCATCAGCATCATCATCAGCATCATCAGCCGCATCCGCATCAAACTCCTTTATCATCATCATCATCATAAGCATCAGCCTCATCATAACACTCAGTATCATCATCATCATCAGCAGCATCAGCATCACCATCATCATCAGTATCAGCATCATCCGCATCACCACCATCATCAACATCATCATCAGCAGCATCAGCATCATCAGCAGCATCATCAGCTTCATCATCAGCACCATCAGTATCATCATCACCATTATCATCAGCATCATAATCTTCATCATCATTACCATCATCATCAGCATCATCAGCATCATCTTCATCACCACCATCATC